TATACCACTTTGTCAACAGAAAATAAAACTAAAAAAAAAAAAAGAAAAGAGGGATTTTTCAATATTTCATAAAAATAAATTTACTAGAAAAAAACAACTTTTTATTTTTAGTAATTTTTTTATTAACAGTTGACAGCTCTTTTGGACTGTTGAAAAACATTTGGAAAAGACAATCGGAGACGGAGAATAAGCATCTGATTTTGGGCATTATGCAAATTGTCAAATTTCTCCTGTTAGCTATCAGAGACAAAAACTGTTTCGCTCTGCTCTCTACTCGTATTTCGACAAAGAACAAAGTAATTGGCTAATCTGTTAATCCCTTATATAATGAAGCATTTCGGGAGCACTGTCAGCACCGAAAAGCTGCCACTAAGGTGGAGAATAATTTCAAGTCTAATAAATTGGAGTATACGTACGTTTTCTTGGTGGAGGAATGAGAGCATTTAAGCAATACCAGTGTTGTGTTCGTAAAAACAAATTGATGCTTCTTTTTTACCAGAAGCATTTACTGCCACTTTCTTCCACTTGTAAATAAGAAAACTGTACTGTTTGTAAATTCTGCTAAGAAATTTTTCAATAAAAATTAGTTTCAATTTTTGGTAATCATTGATAAAAAATGATAAATTTTTTTCTTCCTGTTTCAACTTTTTTTTCTGTTCTTTTTTTCACGTTTTACGCCAGAAATTTGTTGTAAATAAAATTCAATTTTTTGTTGTCACGTATAATCACATAAATTTATTTTATCTCCTCAAAAGGTTTATAACTGATAGCAAAAAAAAAGGTTTTAAACACTGATGTGCTGCAATTTTTTGATACAGTCTAATTTTTATTATTAAAAAATTCAAAACTGATTGAAATTTTTCAAAATTAAACTGAGATTAACTCTGAACTATCATTGAATTGGTACATATAATAACTTAATTTTTTGGTCTAAAGTAGTATTACACAGATTTTTTTTAGCTGTAAAGTAACTTTTCCAAATTTGTTTTTTATACTCTCTGTTCCGCAAAATACTGTAATTAAGTTTTCCGATACTGTAGACAAATTTTTAATCTCCAGCCGTCGTTTGAATATACCAATCAAGAAATTGCTGTAGTTAAGCTAAGAAGACTAATTGAGTCGCAACTAAGTAAACATTGTTAATGTTTATGCAAAGTAAAAAACACTTTCTTTACTCAGAAACTGATAAGTTGATCAAAAATTAACTGAACTGAATAAACAAAAGAATATTTTTTGTTTTTATTTACCTAATATTTCTTCAAATTATTACAGCGACAACAGTTGTTTTAAAATCAATTTTTTTGATGAAATAGCTAGTTGAAGAAGGCGGAGAAGAGGGCAAACAAAAGAAGGAAGCTTAATTAATTGAATAATTTGTTGAGAAGAATCTGTAGCCGTTGATGTTACACAGTCATTGTCTAGAAGCTCTGGAACTCTACTGGTCAACTAGACAACCGGTCAATGCCCCAAATGTCATGCGCTTTGTTAT